GAAGCTGAGCTTATAACCTACACTGCAACCAGTCAGCAGGCGGTGCTCCAAATATTTTGGCTTCACTTTCAGGGTGCATAGTCGTCCATTTTTCGATACAGTCTATGGTTACAACAGGCTGCAAGTAGCTTTGGTGACATTTCAATGTAGCATAATCTTTTGTTGGTATTTTCTTTTCACCCCTGCACAAGTAAGTCTGGAAAACACTCATGGTTGGTTTAAGTAGATATAATTGTGTGGACAGAAATGATAAAAGTGTAATTTGGAGTCACTATTTAATGCTACCGTTGCATAAATCAGTGCCCCAGTTAGGCCATCCCTGTCAAAATATTTCCAGACACACTCCTGTACACATGTGGCACACCGACCACTCATTGGCACCTTCAGCTGTCTTTCTTTACCTTCCCTCTCCTCCTTTCTCCCATTCCATGCTTTAGTAATGTCATTGTTGAGGCGCGTCCTTTTTAACCTCATCAATGTTTAATCTCCTTCCTGTTCCTTTCTACGCCCCTCTTACCTTGTTCTTTGACTTTGCTCACTAATATCTCTCTTTTTTTTGTCTCCCTCTACCAGCTGTTACATTTTTTCGTTTCCCCCGGTTCAGTCATTTTGTAACCGTTGCATGACCTCTACACCTCTCTATTTCTCTCTTCTCACTCTCTCTCTGTCCAAAAATACCAGCCTTTGGCTTTACATCCTGCTGCAGGTAAACCTCGGTTCATCTCTTTCATTGCATTAAAAATAAATAACTGCATGGAAGACGAGCACAGGAGAGCAGGAGAGGAGTGGAAGGCAGATAAAGAAATCACTCTTTTCCCAGAGAGGAAACATGAGGATTTGTCTGCTGTCTTCATTAGTGAAAGAACTTGTTCAGTGTATTTTCAGCCTAATCAGCTGCACTCTGGCACCTTACTGCACCCTAACTGGTGCAGCTACAGTTTATCTCAAAACATAGTGTAATGATGCACACACAGAACGACAAGAATAGGAACCCGCCTGATGCAGTAACTGTTCTACATTGATTCCTTGCAGCAGATATTGAAGCATGTCTTCTGTCTGGATGACAATTTCCTTTTAGAGTTTCCTCATAGGTACTTTGCAAAAAATCAAGCACACCAGGATGAGGCTTTTCTAATATCTCTTTAAGAGTCTTCAGAACGTGCAGAACATTCACCAACAAGAACTAGAAAGACTGCTGTATTAGCTTCTCTAAATGGCCAAATTAAATGATTTAGATTAAACCATCATATCCCATAGCCACCCTCATTAAAGCTCATAGTGCCATAGTCAGTTATCAGGCCCCTCTCCCTTGAAGTCATCCACCAGTTAGGGTCCAGGAGGCAGACACCCTCTCCACTTTTAAGAATAAACTTAAATGTATCCTATTTGGTAGGGCTGGCTCAGATTAGCCTGTTGTTTTGTTGCTTTGAGCTCATACTGCTGGGGGACTTGTTACACTGAGCTCCTGTTTCACCCTGTTTATTAGCCTCTTATACATTGGCAATTCACGACAGGATATATATGCTGCATTTACACCCCGTCTTAAAGGAGTAAAGTCTTAAAGTAAAACGCACAGATGCAGAACGGTGGTGGAGGGGCGAAGTGAGTCTGCCCCTGAGCCTGCATTGGAAGTGGAGGCAAGACGATAGCAATGTATAATGTCAGAGCTGGCATAACATGGAACAGCACTGTGTGTGTGCATGTCTTTTGTGTGCATTTGAAGCCACCACTGTTGGCTTTCACGTCATGCCTCTCTTGCTTTTTCACCTCAAAGCAATGTAAAATCACACACTGGGACGACAACATTATGCAGCTGTGGATTTAATGTACAAAGGCAGAGAGACAACCCAGGTTTTGTGAGGTGCTGCTGGGAACTCACAATGTAAAACAAGCTACCGACTACATCCCTGTCCCATTAACGCATGATACTGAATCTTTCTTTCTCAGCCTATCCATTCACAGCAGATGGCTGTCCACCAACAAGCCTGGTTCTGCTCAAGGTTTCTGCCTGTTAAACAGCCAAAGTTAGGAGAGTTAGAGGATTCACTTTACAGCATTTATAGCCATAGTGGCTCTCTTTCCCCGCTCTGAGTAGCCTGGAGGATTAAACGTGTTTAATTAAGAGGTGATTATGTGTCGACGGCTGATGCAGCAGGATCAGGAAGGCTTCATCCCAATCGCCTCGACTGTCATCACCCTGTGCCCCCATTCAGACCCTTCACTTTATGCCCTCTTTTCCTTATGTCCTCCCTCTTTATCCCTCCTTCCACACCTCTCATACCCTTCCTTCTGTTATGTTCTCCCCTTTTTTTTATTACCTTTTTTTGACTACAGGATTCATTATCCCTCCTTTTAGTTCTATTTCTTCCTGTAGTGTTGTAATGCTTGCAGTTATTGTTCTTCCTTTCTTGTGTAACCCAAGTGCTGTATTTTTACAGCATGCATATATCAGTAAATGTAATCATAAATTCAAAGTGGTTGTAATACGGTCTGACAGCTACAGTAAATATCCACTTTAGTTATATGATGGAGCCGAAAGATTTGAATTCTCCAATGTTTTCTTTTTACGAAAATGAGCATATCCTTCTGAACCAATCACTTTAAAAATTGCAATAATGGAAAAACCCACAACAAAGATGCTGAAACACTCTCTACTGTACGTGCTAAAAATGAGAGTGCATGGTGCTTAAAAGCTGATTCGACACTGATGTTGAAGGAAAGAGCAAAATACGAAAAACAAAGCTATGTGAGAAAGCAGGGGTGGTAAAAGGGGATTTAATAGCAGGGGAATAAAGAAATTTACGGAGCAAGGGAACAGAAAAAGCAGAGTGCTAATAAGCACAGTAAGGGGTGAATAAGAGGCCAAAAACTTGTTTATTGCGATAGTGGGAAGATGAAAGTAAAGGGAGTAGCTTTGGCTTTTTTCTTTTGTCTGTATTTGGGAATAAATAATCTGGTTTAAGTGCAGTGTGAAATGCTAAAACTTTATACTTTAATTATTCATAAGTGTACCAGATAATGCATCATCTGGGATCGTTGTGTTCGTGTATTTGATGGATAATGTTGCTCTTTTTGTGACTCTTGTTTATTAGTGTCGTATAACTTTTTGCTAGCCTTAGACCTAGCAGGCCTTTTTAACTGATGGTCTGTTGGCAGAATCTGACCTTCAATCCAGCCCCATCAAACATTACATGAAGATTAGAATTACTACTAAAGTACAAAACCAAAAGAAGGCAAGGAAATGTTTTCTAATAAATGTATGTTGAGCTGTTGAAAATACAGAGATAGTTTCATTTCAGGTCATTCAGAATACGTATCAGTGTGTCCATTGTTAAGAACAGAAATGCATCATTTCTGTAGAAGATTTAACCCAGGCTGTGTTCCCTCAGTGGGTGTGAAGCTGAAACATGGCTAGTTCTGAATGAATTAAATATGACCTGTTGATCCCTGCGCCTCGTTGTCCGTGGTTGAAACATTTGTTGGGTGTATTTTTTGGAGAAAGATAAGAGGAAGAAATTGAGCAGGGACGATAAAGGTGTTTTAAAGGGGAACGGTTCTGGGGAGATCATATGATGTGTGTTTTGTGCATTCACTGGGCTGTAGTGTTTGTGTATTCACGTGAATGTAAAAACATTCTTAAATGGAATTCACTGTCCTTTGTTAGTTACAAAAGATGTTAAGACATTGTTGCATTCCTCTTGGTTAATTTGCCCCCTTTTCTGTATTGCGCTCGGTTTAGATTTTGACCGTTATTTAATGTTTCTGGAGAAGTTTCATTAATTTAAAAGTAAAGTAACCAAAGCGGAATGGAAGTGAGGATTATGTCAACAGGACGAACATGTACAAGATGGAACAAACTGGCAAAGGAGGGGGAGGCTATCATTACAATCACTCAAGAAATTTAGGGCCAGGTTTGTCCAAAATCTGAAAACAGAACTCACAGTGGAACTTTCGGACTTTTAAAATGATCCAGGAGTGACAATAAGCGGGAACTCAACAGTTTGAAGAAACAGCTCATCAAAAACTACATTATGTTGCTGCTTTGTTTCTTAGAAACGTGTTCCAGGCTATCTGCAGCTGAGCTATGAGTGGAAGAGACTAACGGCCAACACACAGAGGTGCTAGCTTTCTCTCTCAGACAACAGAGACTTCTCCGAGGCCAAAGTTACAGACTCCACCATAATAAAATACATATGAACAGAGCTCAGAAAGGCACAACTCAAAATGAATCAGTCTCAAAACAGTACTGAGGGCAATCAATCACTCAATCTTTGTGCAAGTGCTGTTGAAATAATGAGCTAACGCAAAAAAGTTAGCTTAACAGCTGAACTCAAGGTAATAAATTGTTAGTTGAATAGCGTGTAGCCTAAAGTATTATACTGCTGTCATTGTGCAATTTGGAACATACCTTTCGCATATTGAGAGCAGCATTTTCTTGGCAGTCCTATCTTAATGTAGCAGGTGTTGTAGTTTTATGTGTAGCGTTAGCTTAATTCAACCCTTCTACCCCCATGTTTGTGAAACCTATTTTCATATATTGTTACTGCAGTATCTCATCATCTCTAACACCGTCACCCTCCTTGATGTAAAAGATCTCTCTGAGAGGCTCAGCATCTTTTATTTATGAACGTATGGATAGAAACATCTTTCGTTTGTACATTTCTGACAGTTAAACTTATTTTTTCATACAGAAAGAGCCCACTCTACTTCCTCGAACAGCCAAGTGGGTATGAATGCAACCCTAGTTTGTGAAAAGTGATGAAGAAAAAGGCCCAAGTTCTAAAACCACTGCTCTAAGACGGATCTTATGATAACTGATCTGCACAGATATAAAACTAAAAGGAGTTAACACAAACACAAAAAAAGACTCCTTTTATATCTTGCAATGTGGCTGATTTTCTGACGCAACTGCCGTATCGCTGTCTTCAGTCAGCTTGCATCAGCTCAGTTTGCTTGCTGAGAAGTTCACATAAATACACAGGCACACATGAAGGACTGACCATTGTTGGAGCGTAGTGCCCTGGCCGAGATGCCGTTGGTCCCTATTGGATGATGAACCCCGGTCCCATCCACCACTCCTGCTTCCCCTGGCTGCTTCAGAAGCTCTGTCAGAGTCCTGGTGGAAGAAAGAACACATTTAGTCACACATTATTCAACCATCCTAACGACAAAAAAATATAGTTTACTAACTAAAACAAAGGTCGTACAAACTTGCAATCCCAAGTGTGTTTTAAGAGAAATGTTCAGAAACAGAGCAGACTGATCGAAGCAGACAAAGAGATTTGAGGAGATGAGAAAAGATAATCAGTGTAAAACATTTCTAAACATCTATCTGAGGAAAGCGACAAGTTTGAAACAGACTGTCAATATAAACAGACCCATCGAGAAAAACTCAGAAATAAACTGAAGACAGTAGCATGGAGGATGAAAAGTTTGAGTGTCTGGATGTCTGCCGACTGGGAGCATCAATCATTTCAGAAAAGATAAAGCTGCCTCCATTCTCGAGTCTTTCATTGTTTGATGTCTTTGATAAAGTTTACTCAAAACTGGAACACAAACAGAGAAGGCCTTTAAACAAGCAGATTTAACTCTTTCGGAGCATACAGAACCTAGATTTCAGAGTAACATATAGCTACTTTATCGCAGGCTAACAGAACAATGAAGTTAGTTAGCTTAGTTAGCTGAGTAGAAAAATAAATATCTGTACTAAGGCTTTTTCGGCCGCAGGAACTTTTTCATAAATACTGTATAGGAACTGTTGGAACTCTCCCCTGGTTTTTCTGATTTCCGCACCACAAGAACTATGAACTATTTTAGTTCCTAGAACCTCAACCTTTAGAGGAACCTTTTCAGCTCCTGCTTCAGAGTAGGTACCCTCCCAGCACCATGTTGGTTGCGAATGCAGAAAGAAAAAAAAGTCCCCATGGTGTGTAGTTCTCAGGGAACTCCCTAGTGGATAGATCCTCTTTGAAAAGTCCCAGAACTGTTTGGTCTGAAAACACCACGTTTAACACCAGGGTTAAACGTGGAAGCTAAACTGATGACTTGTGGCTAGATATCAACAATTGATAAATGTTTACTGAAAAGCTAAATACTGAATTGTTGAAAAGGTTAGCTGACATCTTGGCATTATTTAGCTTTAGTTCGTCAAGCCTATCAGTGTGGAGCCTACAACTAACAAAAAGGGCTTAAAAGTGGTGCATTTAAAGCTAAAGGAGAGCATTATAACCTTAAGACTTGTTTATATATATATGCAGTATATTCATTCTTTAAAAAGGATCAGGGTCTTTATTATTTTAATTCCAAACTTTCAAAATAGTTTACATCTTGAATAAGGGACTTGGGAATCGCGGTTCAAAAGGTTCAAAAACCTGTTTTTTATTGAAGGATGACCACTCCTTGTTGATGTTTCGAGGGTTCTTTTCACAGACTGTATGGACTTCATATTGCACTGAATCACTTTCCTGGCTTCATTTATAGTCTTTCCTATGCAAGGTTGTAGAGGAAAACAATGCTTTGTAAAGAAGAAGTGGAAGTAGTCAGCCAAATAAACAGATTTGTAGAAAGGTCTCACACAAAGCTGCATCACTGTCATATGTGTTGGCAGTTCAATTGCAACAGTAAACAGCCCTGGTGGTAACTTGCCCTTTTAAAATGTCAGCTACCAAGTTTTCTCCTGCCACTATCTATTTTTAATAAGGTAACAAAAATAACACCACCTGCATTACATGGTTCTGCCAATATCAAAAGTTGTACATTATTTCCACTGTTGACCAAACAAAGACTGTAATTGGATGTGGAAACTTTCCACTATTTGCTGACTTTACAAAGGCCTAAAAAACAAGAGAACAATCCACATCAACATGTTTTTACTGACAAGGGAATTATAAAAACATAGTCCACAGATCAGCCAAGACCTGTGTGACGCTACCTGGAGACCAATAAATATTTCTCGGCTGTTAATCTCATTGTTGAAACCTTCAGTCAGCCTTCCAAACAACAGAGCAGAACAATTGCCTTTTTATTAGCCTGCTGTGAAATGACTGCTTTGGCCATGGGAGCAGTAAGCATTGGAATATAAACACCTGTGCAATATAAATCCATTCCACACAGAGGACTGTCTAATTTGTTCCTCAATTGAAAGACAAAATGGCATGAAAATATGAACTGTGCTCTCCAGTTTATAATGTTTCATTTACTAACATTTCTATGGTGACTTTTGTAACAATTCCTTTTCCCTTTAAAACCCTCCTAGCAATGCTTTAATATCATGGTACAACATGTTATTACTTAAAGGGGTTCTCAACCTATTTAACACCTAAAAATCAACCATGAACATGACAGCTACTTTACTGACTGTGTGGCTTCTTTTTTTTTTTGACTCAGTTAAGTCAGATAGAGCAATACCACTCAGGGATTTCTCGATAATGAAGGCTGTCCATGCTGGTGCATGAACTGTACTGTGCCGAAGCACACCTCTTCCAAGCGTGCAAGAGTCAAGGAAGTGTACCGTGTTTGAGTACTGATCAGAGCACTCACACTAATCAAACCAACTGGACTTTAGGGGTGAAGCGTGCTCAGGCACAGTACAGATTTCCTAATATGAGTGCGCCCTAAGATGACAAACTAACTCCTAGCTTTGGGATTGTCACCTGCCTGGGGGAGGGGTTTCTCCCTTTTTGATGTCACAAAGAGAAAATCTCCAATCGGCTGTTTGACTGCACGTTTTCTGAAAAGTGAAGCAGGCAAAAAGACGGAGAGGATGGACTTTTCTTATAATTTGGGGGTTTGGAGACACAGCAGGGACACATATTAGAGTCTGAAAACCATGGTAAAGTGTATGTTGCATAATATGTGACCTTTAAAAGTTGTCCACAAACCAAAATTTTGTTGGCTTTGGCTCCAGACAAACAAGCTGCATGTTTTGAGAAAAGCTGCTATGAAGACATGTTGTGATAACTTTTTTTGGAATGGTTAGGTACAAGCTGTCCTTGATCGAGCCAATAAATCAGTACAATGAACTTTTCTAACACTAAAGAAATGCTTAACGATGCCTTTGAGAGCTATGAGGCTTTAAGTGACTTCTTAGTACAGCACAAAATCAAAGGTCCCAGGTCTTAAAAAATATATATCTGGAATTAGACAGGTATTTTTTTTCTCTCTCTCCCTTGACGCTCTATTCACAGCTAAGGTGCCATTAAACAATCTTTAGCAGCTCCAGTGGAGCTGCACGGCGACCGCCAACTATAGCTCCCTGGTGTGAAGGTGAAACGGATCTCTTCTGACCAACTCAGCAAAACCTCCTGAGGAAATTTAGCATCGATTAAAAGTTTAAAATGGGACACGCCATCTTTTTTGGCATATGATGTGCATGTATGAGCAAGTTCATTAATGGAATTTAGTGTGAAAATCCCAAATGTTAAGGGTTGACACATGTGAATAAACCTTATTTATATGGGGAAATAGTTGCATTTAAGGACATGCAAGGACGATAAACGCCCAGAAAATGTGTCCTTAAACTGTACTGTAGAAACCCATATAGTATTTGCACACATAAATCCCAATTGCCCTTTGCATTTTCTGCTTGCACGCTTTTCCATTATTGTCACTCTCTCTCCCTCATGTCATTAATATGTGTCCACTTTCATTTCATTACTTCATTTGTCTCCCACTCTTTCCCCCCGCCGAGGTGACTCTCAGTATAAATAAAGCTCGCCGGTCTGTCTCTCTATTCTCCACCCTCCCACCTACTCTTTGCCCCCTTCACAATGTTTAACAGCGCTATTGTCCGGTTCTTGTTGTCCTCTAATGCCTTTCTCTCCATTTCTAATCTAGTCCTTCTTATCTTCTCAAATTTCTGTGTCTGACTCTATCCCCACTCCTGTTATCTCTCCCCATTCTGCGTGTTTTTTTCCATCGCTTCGGGCTTTTAATCTTTCTCTGTATCACCTCCTCAAACCTCCGTCTCTGCATGTCTTTCTTCTCCTCTCAGCCATCTGATGCTTCCTTTCCTGCACTCTCTTTTTCTCATGTCCAGCACGTCTCCCCCCTCCTCTCCAGCCTCTCGCCCTTTGGCCCGCTTTCTATTTTTTCTCCGTCTTCTTTCATTCTCTCTTTCTTTCTTGCCCTTCTTGGCTTATTTCTCTTCCTCTCCCCGAGGACACTGTCACATAAACTATCCCAACTTGCAACATTAGCACTCTTGAAATGATGCAGAGTGATATGAAGACATCAGAGTCTCCATCAGCAAACACACACAGACACACACACAGCCATGGGCTCGAACAATGCTTGAATCCAGAATTTAAAGTTAAGGCAGAACTATATGCTTTAAATGTATCTGCACCATTTTTATCTGTAGAGAAATGTAAATACAGTGTACGCTCCACATCGAGATGGCATCCTCCCTGTCGACATGCTCATAGATATCTAGCTCTTTCATGATTAGGCTGGAAGCCCTTTAAAAAATAACAAACTCCTGTCACAGATATGAAGAAAGAAACCTGGTGCTGAAGGCCTAAAATCAACAATTCATACAGTGCATATCATATTCCCACTTTGTATCTTTTTTTCTTTTAATTTTCATTCAATGTTTTTTTGTTGTTATTTGTTTGTTTCGTTGAAACAACAGCTGTGATGCTTTACATCTTTAGAATCTACAAATGTTGTAGAAAATGTAATTTTTTAAGTTTTGGCAACTTTCTTGACTTGAAACCTTCTTTTGCTTACTTTAATGAAGTCTTGTTTTTATAAATAGTATATTCTATATTGATTTTATCCACATAAGGCCCAATGAGCTTTGTTTCCAATTAAATAACCAGGAAATGTTTTTTCTCTGTAATGCAAGAAAGTATTTAAATTGAATAAGGATCAAAAATTTATATACAAAGACCGTCATTTTCAAAGCTCTTAAACACAAATGATTCATTAAAAGGCAGGAAATATCCACCGCAGAGGCTTTAAATCTCGTGAGGTTTGGTGTAACTTCTGGAAACTCAAAGAAACATCTCCAGGCAGTCTGGCAGGCTTAAAGCACCACATGCTCAGCTTTGTCCCATTTGAGATGTGCTAAATATAGTAGAACCAAAGAAAAGCTAAGCGTCTGCTGGTATCCCC